GGGTATATCTTAGAGGTCTTCTAGATACCCTTGACAATACATATTATTTTCACAATCATCAATATATTCATTATGATTTAATCATTCACAATTATCATTTTTAATCAGAATATTTATTAAGATTTAATCATCATAATTATCAATCAATAATCATTACCATAATCATCAATCAACATAATAATCAATAACAATTAGCGGCCTAGCTTCGGGTGTTAACACCCTAACTTACCGTCATGCATCACATAATATGTTTTTTGTTAAAAATATTTCTTTTAATGTGAAAAATCATTTTTATAATGATCATAATCAATTGGTATCAAAAATAGGATTTTAGAGCTCAAAAATAACATTTTCAAACAAATTTTCGGATCAGAAATTCGGGGGATCGATCCAGCCCTCTGGATCGATCCATGATGTGAAAAATCACTCCCAGGGGATCGATCCTGACAGTGGTGTTTCAACCACTGTTCATCTTCTTTTTCGTTCGGGTCTAATTTTGGAAATACCATTTTTAGTTATCGAACTTCAATGAAACTATATAGAGATGTTCTCCAAGGTTCATAGATCATTTTGGTATCATTAATTCATAGTTTTAACATCAATTTCATGGTTTATGATTCTTGGTTCTTCAAACATGTCAAACACAGAACTCAACCAAACGACCGTTTATGAACGTAGAAACGATCTGTACAAACATTCTAGTCATTAGATATATCTACGGGCTTACCTCGAAGCTTAATGGAGGTTTTGAAGATTTTCCGGCGAAACTTCCAGCGACAATAGCTCTTAACTCCGGCGACCTCACACCAAATCGACAGCACCACTGCGTTCTCCACACTCAAGGCTATCTCTCAGAATGAATTTGATGAAGAATGGTGGAGAAATGGTGAAGTTGGGTTTCTTATATAGTAAAAGAATGGAGGAAGAGGCCAAGGTGATGATGTATCCGTTCCTATTTTGGCGTCTCAGTGGAGGGGGTTGCGGTTCCTCCAGATTTTAAACGTAAGTCCCTGATTGAGACTAATTTGGTCCTAGTCGGGGAACACTTTTTGGTCCAACTTTATTTGTAATACGTTTTCTGACATCATATTTTTAGGTGGTTGACTTTGACAGAGTCAAAATTGATTTTGTTGACCTTTATTCAGAAAGGTTTTTACATTTCATTCATATTATTTATTCTCATTATTTATTTCAATAAATCATTTGAAAGTTTACATCACAAACAAATTCTTCATTTATTCTTGATTTGGGTCTGTACTCATGTTCTCAATCAAGGTCACACAGTAAGTCAACATATTGGATTTATCTCTATGAGATTTATCCGGATTATGATATTGGATATCAAAACATATTTTATTTTGGGCCAAGGCCCAACAACATTTTATTTTTAATCAAAACAAATTTATTTAATTGAATATTTAATTCAATAAATATTAGGGTATGTTTTGGGGCGTTACAAGCTGGGTTCGGTAAGTTTCCTTCATCATGTCTCATGAATGTAACTCAAATGTTGTACTCATCCCTTAATTATTCGTAGGCGATGATGCGCATGGTCGACATAAGCCAACGGCTGCGCGTCAGCGAAGACGATCAGACCAGGGGCTACGTCGAGATCGCCGACCTCAATGAGTCGCTGAAGGCGGCTAAGGAGCAATTCCGACAGGCTGAGGAGCAGGCTCAGCAGCTCGCGGAAAAGGCTGCTCGCAAGGCGCGCCAGGAGGGTCGCGATCAGGCCGTGGCCGAGTTCATATCCTCGGGTGCATTCCAGGAGGAAGCCTTCGCTCGCATGAACGATTTGCTCAAGGCATGGGGGCAAACTCCCGAAGGGAAGGCATTCGCTCGCTCCGAAGTGACGTCGTGGTACAACCTCGGTTTGTTCCGAGCGCAGCAAGTACTTTCAGACAGGTTCCTCGCTGGGGAGGACTTCCCTGAGCCGTGCGACAACCCTGATGAGTTCGACACTTCCATCTACTACCTAAATGGCGGGGACACAACCGGAAAGCAGACGAATGCTGAGTGATATGACTTATACTTTTTGTATTTGATGTAATGCTGCCCAAGACTTGTTGTTTTTGGATTCGTATTTTTCACTTTGTATGGATATGCTATGCTCTCTTTTGCCTTCAATTTTACTGCCTTCGCTTTTTCCTTTCGCTTGTGTGTCGCCCACCCCCCCTCCAACCTCGGCTCGGCCATGCCGAAGAGAGGTCATCTTGGGACTTGGTCCCTTTTCTGTCCCCTCATTAACCGAGACAACCTTGGGACTTGGGACCTTTTGATCTGCCTCCAGTTCGACCATCCCCGTGCTGCCACGTGTACCTTCCCCCTGGCAAGATGCCTATATAAAGGGGGGGGGTCCTCACAAATTGTTTGCACTCATCTTTCAGTTCCTTAAAATCTTGCCATGCAGCGCTCGGCTCCCACTCCCCCCGACTCCAGTGAGATGCGAGGAGAGACGTTCTCCTTCAGTAGCTACTCCCCTTGGGGCTCTTCTGCTATTCCAACCAAGTCGAGGCCGAGCTCGACTTGTAACGCCCCAAAACATGGTCTAAAAGTTATTCTATTATAAAAGTATTTTTAGAAACCATATTTTCACTTAACAAAGCATTATTTCTATGTTTGACCAAAAATGAAGGAATTTTTGGAGTCAATGATTTTTGTTAAGATTGACTTTTATGGATAGGTCTCGAAGAGACGAATCCAACAGTATATTTTATGAATAAATCTGATGTACAAAGGTTCAGTTATGACATTTTAAATATGTAATTTGTATAAAAATGAGAAAAAGTCAAAGATGTGAACTTTTGTAAAATAATTTATTGAAATAAATATTTATATTTAATAATATTGATTGAATATGAGACTAATTTTAATTACATATCAATTAATTCAATTTTGACTCTGTCAAAGTCAACACCCAAAAATATGCTGTCAGAAAAAGTATTTCAAATAAATATAAAAATTATATCATTAAATAGAGTTTGCTGTCTCATCGCAACGGTGTAAACGGATTTCAATTTGGATAAAGTTGGACCAAAAAGTGTACCCCAATTGAAGTAATTTAATCAAACTAAACTGGAAGGAATTAAATAGCAGCTTAGAATAATATTTATGACTAACTCGTAATGTTCAAGGACGATATTATTTCAACATGAATGCAACTTAGATTACATGAGGAAAGTTAAAGATGCAATTCTAGGTCTAATCTCTCAGGATTTGCAAACTCGTCGTAACCGGCTCCCGGACCCGGGAAAGCTTTAGAAAACTCTAGTTTGTCTAAAAGCTCGTCAACAAAGAAAGAAGAAATAAAAAGTTTCCTCTGACTAGAAGCCATGAAGTTCTGTCTCACCGCATCGTCTAAGAATTTGAGAAGGTTATTGAAATAACCGTCAATGTTTAAAAGACCAATGGGTCTATTGTGTAACCCTTCAGAAGCCCACGAGATCAAGGTAAACAAACCTTCCATAGTGTCAACTCCTCCGGGAAGAAGAATGAAAGCTTCCACATCATGATTCATCTCAAAATATTTGTAGTAATTGCTGGAAACTGTGTGCTCTAC